TAGAGCTCCGTTAGTTATATTATAATTAATAGTTAAATGTAAGTAGATTTCGGTTTTAATGTGGTAAAGGAAAAGGCGATAGCTGTTTATAAACTAATAAGATATGTTGGAATGAGCAGATAAACCCTGCTGCGTGCAAAGTCCTAGCAATTAGGCGATTATCTTTTGCGACAATGGCGCAGCAGTTGCATTCAACAGTTATGAGCCCGGCTCGCAGACGACTTCCCCTGCGTTAACACCACTGTCTACCGCTTACAAGCACTCAACAACAACACCAGAACAACCATGTCAACAAACGACAAGAAGATCTTCCTCGCCAGCTCCAAAGACTGGGAGGACTGGAACGACGAGTTTAAAACCAGGGCAGACGCAGCCCAACTGTAGGATAAGATCAATCCCGAAACCTACGACCAAGAGGAATTCCTCACTAAGCCTTAAAGACTATAGGTGGGCGTATACGAAAAGAGGAAGGAACTCGGACCACTGAACGAACTATAAAGCATTATAAAGCTCTCGTTTAAAGGACGAGCAAACTACTAAGTGGCGCTCTCGCTCTATAAATAAGATTAAGCCGACTACGATAAAGAGACCGACAGGATTAAAGCCCTTAAGAACTGGGTTATAATAACAATTAGCTTACATCTTATTAGAACCTTATGTCCTACCGGAACTAGCATTAAAGAATGGTATAACAGCTTAAAGCTTTAAGTGGGAAGGACGGAAGCAGAAGAAAGGATGTCTGCTTAAAGCAACTATTAATAAGCAGTTAAACCGCTTATAAAGCTGCCTCGCGATATAAGTAAGTGGATTTTGGACTGGGAGCAAGCGTTCTATAAAGCAAGGCAGAATGCTGTGCTTAAGGTCCAGAACACGGAAGACTGGTTTAACGACTTTAAAAAGGCGATTAAAGGATCAGACCTAAAGTGGAAGTACTGGATCCAAGCTTTTAACATAACACACCGACTACTTACTCCGGTCAATCTAACAGGAAGATCTTTTAACTGCGTGGAAGCAGTGGATCTGGCTAACAGGAAGCTATGAAAGCTATAGAAGCCATTAAAGTCATAGAATAGGCGCTCAGCGCAGGAGATAAGGAGTGCTTAGGAGCTAAAGAAGTTTAATTAGCCGGTTAGCTTAAAGGCTTATAAATGTAAATGAATAATAATCTATTAATAAAATAGCTGTTTTAAAGCTTCCTCCTATATAAACTACGTAGGCTAGTAATTAGCTAGTTAGAAATAAGTAAGACACTACTTTTAACCTTAATTAAATGAGTATAAGTAAGTTGTAACTTTTAATAAAAATCTTCTTATCGTTTATTAATATAATTATTTTAATATTATTATTTAATGCTTATAAGCGGTAAACTATAATGTTAACGTAAAGGAAGTCATTTATAAGTTAAGCTTATAACTATTAAAAGTTACAGCTTACTTATATACGTTTAATTAAGCTTAAAAGTAATATATTACTTATATTCTATCTTTTAATTAGCTAATTATTAATTAATGTAGTTTATATAAAAGAGAGCTTTAAAATAACTATTTTATTAACGAATTATTATTTATTTATATTTATAAGCCTTTAAGCTAATCAGCTAATTTAACTTTTTTAGCTTTAAGATGCTCCTTATCTCTTACGCTAAGCGCCTATTTTATAACTTTAATGACTTTTATAGCTTTTATAACTTCTTATTAGCTAAATCCATTACTTCCACGCAGTTAATAAGTCTTCCTTTCTTAAGCGCCTTACTGCTTACTCCGGTTAATTTAATAGTAACATTTTCACTTCGCGTTTTCTTACTTACTATATTAATTACCAGTGAAATATATATATAGTAAAAAGCCTTAAATTAAGGCTTTCTAACTATATTAATGCATCTTAAGCCTTAATAGTGGTTATAGTAATATTTATATAAGTAAGTAGTATAATAAGTAAGGTAACTTCTTTATACTACTTTTTCTTAGCTATCTTAATAGCCACCTATATATAACTATTAAAATATAATTTACTATAAATAATGATTTTAACTATATTAGTGTATCTTAAGCTTAAGCAGTGGTTATAGTGATATACGTATAAGTAAGTGGGTGTAATAAGTAAGGTAACTACTTTAAATGTTTATATCTCAGCTATTAAGAATCTAATTAACTAGTAAGTAATAAATTTAAAATCCTCGGAAAGAGTTAATTCTAACTATATTTACGGTATATTTTTCGAACTTCTAATTATAAGGTATTTTACGTTCTTAATAATATGTAAAGAATTAATCGCGGCTACTAACGGCTAAAAACGACTAAAGTGCCTTAAACTATAATTTACTCATTATTTTTTACGCTCTTCTCGTCACCTGATTAGCTGGAATGATCTGAAAAGTGGGTCGCGACCACAATTGCCATGGGGCCATCACTGGCATGCCAGTGCCATGACGCGCTTAAGTATGGACCCTGGAAGGACCCTAGTACTTTGGGTACTTTTTACAGGGGCGAGATGATACTTGCCAAGGTGTACTGTGGGGCGCCGGAAAAACCAAAAATCTGTTGAATGCAACTGCTGCGCCATTGTCGCAAAAGATAATCGCCTAATTGCTAGGACTTTGCACGCAGCAGGGTTTATCTGCTCATTCCAACACACCCCCCAGCTAAAGCACGTAGGGCTCTTAGCTGCAGGACTTGGCACAACTGCGGATTGTTTTACCGCATGGCTGCTCTTTCCCGAGTAACCCCCGGATCATTCCCAGGCAGTCCACGGACCAAGTAACCCCTCCTTTTTCGGACGAGGTAGTGCGCTGACCAGGAATTGAACCTGGGATCTTTTAAGAAGCTCGAGCCGGGCTCATAACTGTTGAATGCAACTGCTGCGCCATTGTCGCAAAAGATAATCGCCTAATTGCTAGGACTTTGCACGCAGCAGGGTTTATCTGCTCATTCCAACAAAATCTGAAAAATGACACTGTCAACTATAGGCCTCCATAAGGCACTCCGAGAAAGGGACCCCTCGGCGCCACTAGTGCGGGGTCGGCGGGGTGCTTCCAAGCCCCACTAAAAAGTTTACAAAATTTTGGGCAATGCACACAAATTGCGATGGTATGTGTACCTCAGTCTTGCTCGTAGCCCGTTCCCAGTCCCGTGATATTGCCCCGGACGCAAGTCTCATAATGTCGAAACGAACAGCGGATGCGAGCGGCGCCGGACCGCTCAAGAGCGGCGACCGGCCCGATGCCATGGACATAGACGACAAGACCAATGAGATGGGCGAGTTTGAGGACGAGTTCGAGGACGAGTTCGAGAGCGAAGACGAGATAATCGAGGCTGGCGTTGATGGAAGGCCTGATGCGGAACGGGAAGCTGAGGAAGCAGGTGAGAGGAGACTCCCCCGACATGCTCTCCCACTGTGCCTAACCACTGCGTCGACGGGGCAGCGGCCGGCGCAATGGACGTCGACAACAATGGCCCAGGCACCTTCATTGTCGGGCGAACGAAGCTCGCCCCCGGAGAAACACTCGCGCCAGACCCGACAACATATCGAATGCTTCATAGCCTGAGCACTCCGTGGCCGTGTCTTTCCTTCGATGTCGTGCGAGACAATCTGGGCGACAACCGCAGCGTCTTCCCCGCAACCATGTATACTGTAGCGGGAACTCAAGCCGACAGCAGGAGGCCGAACGACAATCAGTTGATGGTCATGAAGTTTAGCGGGCTGAGCAAGATGGACGGCGCGGATGGCGATGAATCCAGTGACGACGAAGACGACGACGAAGACGCCGATCCCATCCTCGAGTCCAAGACCATCCCGCTAAACTCGACGACCAACCGGATACGGGCGCATCAGACCCCCTCGCAAGACCCCTCGAGGCCACCGATTACTCTTACCGCGACTATGACCGAATCCACCAACGTGCTGATACACGACATCACACCCCACCTCGCATCGTTCGATATTCCCGGCACGGTGATCACACCCCAGCAGAACGAACCCCTGTACACGATCAAGGCTCACAAGGCAGAGGGCTATGCAGTCGACTGGTCCCCGCTTCACCCGGCGGGCAAGCTTCTGACGGGCGACAATGATGGCCTGATCTATGCGACAACTCGAACCGACGGCGGCGGCTTTGTGACCAATGCCCGCCCCTTCCAAGGCCACACAAGCAGCGTCGAGGATATACAATGGAGCCCGGTTGAGCCAACTGTCTTTGCCTCGGCCTCTAGTGACGGCACGGTCCGTATTTGGGACCTCCGCAGCAAGAGCCGGAAATCGATGGTCACGATGCAAATCAGCAATACGGATGTTAACGTGATATCTTGGTCGCGGCAAACAACAAACCTGCTGGTGTCAGGCGCTGATGACGGCGAGGTTGCGGTCTGGGACTTGCGGCAGTGGCAACCCAGCGGAAGCTCTGCGCCCGGCAAGCCGACCCCGGTCGCTAGCTTCAACTACCACAAGGAGCAGATCACGAGCGTAGAGTGGCACCCAACGGACGACAGCATTGTGGCTGTCGCAGCGGGCGATAACACTGTTACTCTGTGGGATTTGGCGGTTGAGTTGGATGACGAGGAGAGCAAAGACACAGCAGGTGTCCAAGACGTGCCGCCACAGCTGTTATTCGTGCACTACCAGAACTTGGCCAAAGAAGTGCATTGGCATCCTCAAATACCCGGCACGCTGGTGGCCACAGGCGAGGAGTTCAGTGTGTTCCGGACCATCAGCGTTTAGATATGTGGAGGTCTGTAGCAAAGCATGGCTTGGATTTGCTGGCTGGTATAATCGAGTTGGTTGGTAAATCTGCGAATGGATCTACGAATCCTCGATTCTACGGGTCGAAATGTGAAATAATGCTACGAAAGTATGTAGACGTGGTCTCGATTGTCATCCGAACAGTAGTAGGTCTTGAGTATCTGCGTTGTTGCAAGAACATGCTCTGTGAAGAGTGTACGGTTCTACGGTTTAGAGCATCGGGAGCAACTTGGCAAAAGTACAGCGGTCAAAAACTAAACCGAATGTATCCGAGACGGGATTCGAACCCGCGACCCTCTGCGAGACTGGTTGTTTGCGCAACATTGTAAAGCAGATGCCTTAACCACTGGGCCACTCAGACTTGTTATACTGGTCGATTTGCAAGTAAAGCCATACCTAGTAGTATGATCTTTCGTTTCATGGCTGTGTTCTACCGTCCTCACTCCCGAATTGCTCTCCGTTTCTTCGCTTACTGTAGCTTTAGATGAACATGCATGATGCCGTCTATCCCGCACACATAATCCTTGGCATGACAGGGATCTCTGCGGAGCCACAGTTCAATTGCATTTTCTTCATCGTTGGTCGTTTACTATTAGGTCTGAGCACAGGGGCGTTAGGTTCCCCGGCTTTCCTGGACCTGAGATAGTCCGTCCTTCCCCTGCTACAAGATGAGCAAGCATTCATGTGAAAATCATTCGAGCCACCGAGTAGTGTGACGTTGCATCTCCGCGCAATATAGCTGCCCTTGAAGCCAAATCAGCCTGCAGCTACGTGCCCTACTGGTACGGGCCAGGGAGGTGTGAGTCGTGAGCTCCCCAGGAGTCCCGTCGGCGTGCCCGAGAAACAATTCAAATTGCCTGCGGCAACCGGGATTCACTGGAACCTTTTCTATACTACGCACTGTGAAAGCTGAGCGGGCGTTCAACTGACTTAACTCTTAAGTAGGTACGTACACGTTTAATATAACGGCAATGGCAGTACAGGTCAGTAACTATGTTAGCTCGAAATCGCCTTGACTCATACACCGGTGGATGTCTACACTGTCGCACAGCTAACTTTAGTCTTGAAGAGGTCTTGAAGAGTTGGCGTAGAAATGGCTGCCAAATATTTGTCGAGCACGACGCACTGTTTCCAAAAACACTAGGTTGGACAGCTGGGGAAAATCGGGAGAGATTGACTTGTGGAGGATGGGCCTTGGCCTCTGGATTTGATGACGTTTCCGTCGATTAACCGTTGGTGATCAATTATCCCGCACACGCGCGGAGAACCGTCTCTTCCATTACGTGGAACTGTCTTATCTCCGAATCACGAGAAAACCTTGAGGCAAATGAGATTGTTGCCACCTTTTGTTATGCTTAATTCTTTGATTTGTGATCAGCCCCGCCTCGGAAACCCAGCAAAGCCCTAGAGATGTACGTTGATGACTCGAGCAGGCGCCGTCCAGTCGGAGGCTTAGTCCGAGCCGCCTTTCCCCGGTCTCCCCATGGGCAAGCCGGCAGAAGCTCAGACCTCGTTGCTCAGCTGCGACCCGGATGTAGCTTCCGTCTGGGGAAAGCGAGATCTTCATCACATAAACAACCCGCATGCAAGGTACTCACGTGACACTTTAGGCAGGTGCATACATAGTGCTAGCCTAGCGCAAACTCTGTTGTCCAGCATGGGAATTAGCAATGCCCAGTCAAGCCAGTTATCTCATTATCTACCAGTGTATATCCGACGCTGGGTATCGCCTTCGTGGGCAGTGGCTGTACTCCAGTCTTGGCGCACCAACAGTGCGGAGCGGCAGCCCGGACGGTTGCTCGAGGCAAGATGATGGTATTTTGAGGAAATCAGCCAATATTCTTATAGTTTCGGGTGACCCTTTTACATCTTCTAACTCGTCTTGATGGCCCCCTTCTCATTCGACAACAGAGACCCTTGGCACCACTTTTCGTGGCACTAGCAGCCAGCAGGACCAGATGACGCGGAATGTTTCGGAAAGGGCCCGCGAGCGAGAAACGCTCAAGTATTCGCCCTGAGCAAGGGGTTACTTATTCCCCAATTGCTGTGGACCTCCTCATCAAAGTCAGGCCTCATCTTCACGACATCAATCGGATGCCTACCCAAGTCTATCAGATCACTTGCATTTTCTTATGGCTGGTTGTTAAGTTGCTGAACCCTGTATAATAGATACCTGCACACCGTGCGTGAAAGCCGCATCATTCACGACGCCAGCAAGGCAGTTCTACATCCCGGACTGACATCCTTATCCGACACTGTCTTGACTGCCCTCTCGCAACTCGGTGCTTTAAGACTCGGTGCACAACGAGCGCTGATTTCACTGTTTGACGACAATCTGCAGCATATCGTGGCGGAGGCTACCCCCACTCTATCGCTGCAGCCGAACGTACGCGACGAAGCCGAGCCGTTATGGCTATGCGGAACGGCTGTCCCCCGCTCGTCTGGTATATGAAATCATGTCTTCGCACTGCAGTCGGAGGATCCGACCGATTTGGTCGTGTCTGTGGTCCCAGACCTGTTAGCAGACGGCCGATTCTGTGACAGTGCCTTGGTCTGTGGCGAGCCCCAGCAGCGATTCTACGCGGGCGTCTCCATCTGCTCGGCCTCTGGCATTCCTATTGGCATATTTTGCATATTTGGCAAGGAATCTCGGACAGGGCTTGACGACAGCTCCATCCAGTTCATGAAAGACCTCTCACGAGCCGTCTCAGCGCAGTTGGAGTCGCATAGAACCCAAATCGGCCTCCGGCAAAGTGAGCGGATAGTGCGCGGTGTCATGAACTATGTTGAAGGCAAAGGGAACCTCTCGGCGCGTGATGCGGAGGAACGGCGATGGGAGCAGCGGGGCCGAGACGACCCAGTTAAGGCATTCAGACCGCCCGAGCCTGTGCCGGAAATTCCGGATGCGGGACCCATCGACGCCGCAAGGTCTCAGGATGGAGAAGATGGGGAAGGAAGCCTATGGGATCGCGCACCGCAAAGAAAAAATAGAAAGACCGTGCCAGCAATCTCAGTATCGGCTCGCGACTCGTTAGCCTGGGCTCTGTGACCGAGTTTGAGACGCCGAGATATGACGGGCCACCGTTTGGGGGCCGCGAGACAAATCACTATCTTGTCGAGATTAAAAAGAGCTTAGCAAAGGCTGCTAACATCATTAGAGAGTGTATTGAGGTCGAAGGCGCGCTCTTCGTCGATGTAAGCGTGAGCCCGTTCGCAGCAGCATCCAGCCCCTGCTCTCCCTTATTCGATGACGGATTGAGCGCCGAGCCTAAGAATCACAGGCCATGCACTGTCTTGGGCTGTTCCGCCCCGGACCGGGGAAGCTACCGCAACCACAAAGCCAACAGGCAGGATGCTCTGTTAGAGGCATTCGTCCGAGCGCTCTAGCGGCGGTATCCTAAGGGAAGGATCTTCGACTTTGATGCAAATGGCCAGGCAATCCATTCCGATGATGACGACTCCTCGGATTTATCCGCTTCTGGGGCCGAGCTCGGCGCGAGAGGGCAGAAGCGGGATGGCCACAGGCTCTCGAGGGGCAACGATTGGAGAAGAATTATCAGCGCCTTTCCGGGGGCGCGGAGTGTGGCCTTCTTTTCGTTATGGGACACGCAACAAAAACGATGGTTTGCGGCGGGGTTTGTGTGGACGGCGAAGCCAACGCGGGTCCTGGCTCCGCATAACGAACTGTGTTTCCTTAACGCGTTTGCCAACCACATCATGGCTGAGGTCGGCCGCATTGAGGTGGAATTGGCCAATCGCGCCGAGACCGACATGCTGGGTTCCATTTCCCACGAGATGCGCTCACCACTGTATGGGATCCTCGGTGCCACTGAAATGCTGCTAGGCACCGAAGTGAGCCCCTCGCAGGCGGAGGTGATTTATATTGTGGAGGCATGCAGTAGGACGCTATTGGAGACGGTTGACCACGTAAGTGCACCGCTGCAGGCTGCATGAGGGCCAGGATCCAGCCTCATGTTCTAACCCTCCCTTCTAACCTCGTCCCAGCTGCTCGACCACTCTAAGATCAATAATTTGACCGAGCGATCCAGGTTGGCGCGGCCGTGGCGAAAATGGGAACGACTCGAGGGCAACCTGAGCAGCAGCTCCAGCCCTCCGTCACAGTCCGGCATAACGCGGCTGTCCCAAATCGAACTGGATGTAATGGTTGAGGAGGGCGTCGAAAGCGTGCTCGCTGGCCACAACTTCCAGAAGAAGTGCAACAAGCGGGCCGAGGACCCAAATGAGAACGTCGCGATTTGGCTGAGCATCGACCGCGCAACAGACTGGAGCTTTTATTCGCAGCCAGGGGCGATCCGGCGCATCATCATGAACCTCTTCGGGAACGCGTTGAAGTACACGTCCCGAGGCTCAATCCATATCCAGCTCACCTCCCAGCCGCTCCCTGCAAAGGGCAACAAGCGGCGGTCGAAGGTGGTCTTCACCATCACCGACACCGGCAAAGGCGTCAGCGAGCAGTTTATACGCGGCAATCTTTTCAAGCCGTTCGCCCAGGAAGACTCGCTCTCTCCCGGGACCGGGCTTGGGCTCAGCATTGTCAAGCAGATCACCGACTCGCTCAGGGGCGGAGTCTCGGTCCGGAGCACGCCCGGAGAGGGCACATGTGTGTCTGTCTCCCTGCCCCTGCCGCACAGTGACGTGAGGCCGAGCGGGGAAGAGCCTGTGGATCTCGCGGAGCAGAGGAAGGACCTCAAGGGCCTGCGCGTATGTCTCAAGGGCTTCAGGGACCAGGCCGATGGTCTCATGTCGCCAACCTGCAGCTCCAAGCCGCCACAGCCCGAAAAGGCGGCCATGGAACGGATCTGCAAGGACTGGTTCCAGATGGACATGGTCGAGGATGCCGAGTCTGCGCAGTTGACCATCTGCTCCGACAACTTCGTCATGGAGACGAGCCCGGGGAACAAGGAGCGGAGGGTATCGAACCCTCTGATTGTGGTCTGCGGGAGCAAGTTGGCGGCCCACAGCCTGTCTCTGTCTCCGAAGTCGGCCAGATCCGACCAGCCTGCTGTGACAGAGTTTATATCTCAGCCGTGTGTTCAACTGTCCGGCCCTGCATGGCCCCGGTCAAGAGACGGCTTCTTGCCACTGACTGACCTCGCCACAGTGTCGGCCCCCGCAAGCTCGCAAAGGTTTCGAAAAAGTGCCTGGGCCGTTCCAAGACAGCTCGCCTGTCGTGGAGTTCTTCTGACTCGAGCATTGATCTGAATGAGCTCCAGAGGCAGATTTTCAACGAGCCCGATGTCGAGGTGCCTCCCAAGCCAACCCGCTTGCTATCCTGTAGTATCAACGACGAGATGCCAGTCTTGGATGCGCTAAGCTCAAGGCCAGAGGGCAGCTTTGACA